TGTGTATCGTTATTATTCCCATTTCTCAAATAAGGAAACTGAAGCTCAGTAAAATAATCCCTTGCTCAGTGATTCATACAATTAGTAACTGGAATTGAGATTTGTCTCCCCGGCAATCTTCAGAGCCCACCCCACCCCACCCGTCCTGCTTATCCACAAGCTGACGAGTCCTAACAGGCCTCCTTTGCCAGTGACAAAAATAACTATTTTCAAAATTCACAGCAGGGCTTTCGCCTACACACGCTGCGCTGACTGGAACCTGAAGAGAGATATGCAGAACGCAGTGTGCGGATGGATGGAGGCCTGCGATGCAGCAAGCAGGCCCTGAAACACCCATGTCCCTCCTCCCATCACTAAGCCCATGCCCCCAACACACACACACACACACACACACACACACACACACACACACACACAGGAGCCCAGAATGGCCATGTGGGGAGGGCTCTTAGAGCATCCACTGCACACGGGGGGCACTGGGGCCCAGAGACGGTCTGGAATTTGCCTAAGGTCACACAGTGGATCCGTGCCAGGACGGAGCCAGAACCCACATGTTCCACCTCCTCTCCCATTCGCTCTGCCAGCGGTGAGCTCACACCTGCCCTCAGGACACATGTGCACACACCCACATGTGCTCATTGACAGCGCTACAGCCCTTGCTTTTGTGTTACTGCATTTTAATCAGCTTCACGGCTCCCCCACAACCGCTAGCCTGGCCAGTCCTCTATAGCCCTGTGAGGTAGGCAGAGCCAGGGCTAGCATCCCCATTTGCAGGTGGGGAAATTGAGGCTCAGAGGGGAAGGACTGGGCCCAAGGTCAAAGCAGAACCCAGGTGTCCTGTTTGTTGGTTCAGGGGCTCTTTTCACAGCTGTTTGGTCCACCACCTTTGGTCCTGTAGCACCAACAGCTGGGCCAATTCCTCTGAGTTCTGGGAACAGAAAGGAGAGCTCTCCGCCACAGCCTCTACCACCAGTCCAGCCCCAGGACTGGCCCAGGCCATGTAAGGACCCAGGGAGGTCACCCCCTGATTCCTGCACCTCCACCTTCAACAATCAGGGATCCCTTCAGAGCAGCCAGATTGCAATGCCATGGCTGGGGTCCAGGCCTAGAGTTGCCTCCATGTGGCCCCTCACCCAAGCAGAATCACAGAGGGCTCAAAGGTGAGGCCTTAAATGATCTGGGAGGGAGATGGTGAAGTTGGCAAGAACTCCACCATGGCCCCAAGCACCAGGTCCACACTACAGAGCCATAGAGTCATTAAAGCTCATTTCACAGGTGAGGAAACTGAGGCCCAGAGAGCTTGTGCAGATCACCTGAGGTCACAGAACAAATCAATGGAGAGGCAAGACTGGGGCCCAGGAATCCCAGTCTAGTTCATTCTCCTGCCACCCCCCAAGCCAAGCTCCCCACCCTTCAACGGAGGGGCCGCACCCCCTCCATTTCCCTGCAGATGGGGACATGACCTCAGGCCCTGGAGAGGAACAGGGCCAGGCTTGAGTAGGGGAGTATATCTAGGGGGGCAGAGATCCTCACCTCCCCCCCATCAGATCCGGTGGGACATCAGTCTGGTGTTGAGTTTACGGAAAAAGGATCGCAGCTTGCAAATCTTGCATTTTTTCTTGCGGCGCCCCCGGGAGAAGCTTCGAGCCCTTGCGTCCTCCTCCTCCTCCTCCTCCTCTTCATCCGTGGCCCAGGGCCCCCAAGCACCCCCGTTAAAGTCAGGATGGGCTCGGGGATTCTCAGCCGGGTAGCGCACAGGGATGGCTGTGCGGTTATAGTCCACCAGGCGGGCTAGCAGGGCACGAACCACGTCGGGCCGCTGGTCAGCTAGGTCCTCCCGTTCGTAGGGGTCAGCACTGATATTGAAGAGCCACACGGCCTGGCGGGCACTGGCCATCCGCTCCAGGTTCCACCAGCTGCCAGGAAAGGCAGCCAGCGTCTGCGGTGGGATCCAATCACCATAGCCGGGGTCTCCAGTCAGCAGCTTCCACTCGCCCACACGGATGGCAGCCTGCACAGCAGTGTTCCAGATGCCAAAGCCACCCTCAAGGGAGCCGTGCCGAGCGTGGTTGTAGAGCGGGTCAATGTTGTGCAGGATCTCCGTGCGCGGTGAGGCCCGGCCCTCGCTGATGGCTGGCCACACGTCATAGCCATCTAGCCCATCAGCTGCCGAGGCGGTGCCACCTGCCAGACCCACCAGGGTTGGGTACCAATCAGTGATGTGCACCAGCGCCCGGCTGGTCCGGCGCTTTCGCTTGAGCAGGGGGCTATGGACGAAGCCCAGGCCCCGCACGCCACCTTCCCAGTAAGTGCCCTTGCGTCCCCGCAAGGGCCAGTTGCTGCCTCCTGAGAAGGTCTGGCCGCCATTGTCGCTGGAGAAGATAATGACACTATTGTTGTAGAAACCATAGCGCTTAAGGGCCCAGGTGATATTACGCACAGCCTCATCCATGCATGTCACCATTGCGGCGTACTTCCGCCGGGCCACGTTGCCCATGGTACGGTAGCGGTAGAGGTACTCACGAGGGGACTGCAGGGGCGTGTGCACTGCCTGGAAGGCCACATAGAGGAAGAGGGGCCGCCGGGGGCTATGGCTGGCTAGGATGTGGCTGACACGCTGGGCGTAGAGCATGGTAGAGTACTGGCCGCTGAGCCCCCAGGCCACACTCTCACCCTCATGCAGGTCAAAGCCGCATACCCCAGGGCCATCGCAGTTGTCATAGGTGTAGTAGTCCACATTGCCCGTGAGTGAGCCCAGGAAGGTGTCAAAGCCCCGGCGGGTAGGCAGGCACTCCTTTCGATAGAAGCCCAGGTGCCACTTGCCCACCATGTGGGTAGAGTAACCTGCCTCCTGCAGCTTCTGGGGCAGTGTCACCTGGTCCAGGGGCAGGCAGTTGGGCTGCCGAGGGCGGATGATGGAGTGCTGAAGTCCTGTGTGGATCTGGTACCTGGTGGGAAGAGGGAAGGGCATAGAAGGCACAGGTGAGCTAGAAACTACACTGCTCTGTCCACCCAACCCCTAATACTCACCCTGAGGTGGGCTCTGGTTCCAGTGCTACCAGCGAACATAGTTAACAATAAGCAGCAGGTATTATCAAATGTGCTAAAAGCTTCAAATGTATTATCTCATTGAATCCTCAAAATCATTTGAAGCAGATATTATTGTAATTTTACAGGTGAGGAGATTGAAGCTCAGAACGGTTAAGCTACTCACCCAGGATTCCACAGCAAGGAAGCTGGGGAGTTAAGAGTAGAACCCAAGTTAATCATGACAACAAAATAATAGTAGCTAACACCAGGCCCTCACTGTGTGCTCAGCATTGCACTAAGCCCCTTTATGAATTATCTCACTAAATCCTCACTGCAGCCTACGGGGTGTGTATCGTTATTATTCCCATTTCTCAAATAAGGAAACTGAAGCTCAGTAAAATAATCCCTTGCTCAGTGATTCATACAATTAGTAACTGGAATTGAGATTTGTCTCCCCGGCAATCTTCAGAGACTTCTAAGTTCTAAGCCATTAACTTGCTATGAGGCCTCGAGCAAGTCCTGCTCTGCCAGCCAAACTGCTACTCACTGTTCAAAGCCCAGCCCAAATGTTACCCTCACTGTAAAGTCTCTCACGATTCTCTCAAAGAATGAGTCACTTTTGCTTCTGGGTTCCCCCAGTATTTCGTACCCATGATCATTGTCTTACGTGGCCATGCAATTCTACTCAGCGTATGTGCTCTCGGGCCAGTGATATGTAATGGGACTGTCCTTCACTCAATGTTGTATTCCTGGCACTCAGGTGGTGTTTAAAAGACACTCAATTACTTATGGAATGAATGAATGAATGAACAAATGAATGATACTCAGAGAATTTTAGAGCCAGAAGGGACCCAAGTCATCTTCTAGCTTATTCACTTTGTCTGGAACTAAAGTCCAGAGGAAGAGAGGGACTTGCCTAAGATTATTCAGTGGTCAGGGGCAGGGGGAGAGTCAGGACTTAAACAGAAGTGCAAGCAGTCCAAGCACAGACCGTTTTCCGGCAAGCTAGGCTGCCCCTTTCCTTCCCCCATGGGGGCCTCAGTTTGTTCACGTGTAGGAGTGAGTTGGTTGAAATGGGAGATCTTTAAAAATCTTCCAGTTCCCAAATTTTATGAGAGGAGTCCATAAGTTCATGTGGCCCCTGGATTTGGGTCACGCACACAGGCTAACATCCTGAAGCAGGAGCAAATGATTAGCAGAATCCCGCATTCCTCGTTCATTCATTCAAATCCCATTCCCCCTGCTGTGGACAAGGCCCCCATGGGATCTGCTTATGGGGTCTTGCCTTTACTCAGGTCTTAAAAGTCCAGAGTAAAAAAGGAGCCTGGAACTTCACAAGGATATTAGAAGCGCACGCCTTTTTTGTCCCCTGGGGCATCCAGATTAAGCCAGACCTGAATACCTGATGCCTTTATCCTGGGCACTGGGGTGGGTTTTCTGTTTTGGTTTCCTTATCTTAAAACTGTTATTGCTGTTAGCTATCACTAGCTACTACTGCCATTTTTAATACTATATTCCACATAGATTATTTCATTTAATCCTCATTTTTAAAAAAACCTACAGGGAAGACTATTATTACCCCCATCATTCTACAGATGATGAAACTGAGGCTCCCAAAAGTGCAGCAACAGGCCCAAGTTCAGAAAGCTGGCAATCAGTAGAGCTGAGCTTTGAACCCAGGTCTACGCAACTCCTGCTCAAAATTTCTTGGTGCTCTGGCCTCTGCAGACCTCAATCAAGCTAATGAATGATTAGATTTGATACAAGAGGTACCCTAGGGCCCTGAGTCAAGGCTGAGTCTCTTTCTAGGGGCGAGGGCACCATAGAGCACCGCTTTGTAAAGTGGGTGGGCCGGTTCAGAGTCACTGAAGCCCGTGTCCAAGTGAGTAACATGAGAAACTTTGGCTCTCTCCAAACATGACTGGATGCATTAACAAACACTAATGAGAGTAGTCAGCACCAGTCAGAAGGAGCCAGCTGCAGGGGGCAGAGGGCAGACGCTGCCCAGCCACGCTCAGCTAACTTCACAGATCAGAGGGATGGAACGCTGCCCTGCTGGCCGTTCATTCCCCCGCTTAAACCAAAAGTCACCTCTCAGGGCAGAAATCCTAACTCGTGCGCAGCTCCTGGTAACGCAGATCCCTCCTCCCTCTTCTGGAGGTTAGTCACCGGTTCATTTTGACCACCACGGCAACCCAGAACGCAGACACTGGCCCCTCGTCCTCTTTCTCCAGGTCCCTCTCTCTGTTTCTGGATCTCCACGCTGAGTACCAGGTTGAAGGAAGAAAAGGCAGCTATTCGACTCCTAGCTCCAGGACCCCTGCCAAGCACCTGGCCTCTCAGCCCCGTCTCCTACAGGCCCTGACGTTGGGTCCAGGCATGAGTTGGGCCCTCCCTGACTCCATGCCTCAGTTTCTCCCATCCAGGAAACAGAGAGATTAAGGCTCTAGTTCCCTGAGATCACACCAGTGGCTTTTGGGTGGAACTTGGGAAAAAGCAGGCCTTGGACCCCATCCAAGGAGGATTAGCTTCAGCCTTGCCAAAGGATTTTCTCCTAAGTAGCCAGGCCAGAGTTTGCTTTCCACACCCACACCTCCCGTTTCCTTGCTCTTTTAATCCTGTAATCCTGCCTCCTTGCCTGTGGACAACTCCTTATGGAGAAAGCAGCACATCTCCTTGAGGCTCCCAACCAATTTGGGAGGATTTTGCAGATGAAAAAACAGAGGCTTGGAGAAATGAAGTAACTACCTAACGCTACACAGGTCACGGCGCACTGTGTGCGTCTTTCACTCCACCTGTCAATTCCTTGGTTTCTTCCCGAGGTAGTCATAGTTTGGGGACGCTAATCCCTCCAGTGACATAAAGGCTGCCGTTCATTGACAGCCAAGCAGGTTACGCGCCACTCATTCCATCCTTACCACTGCTTTTCAAGATAAAAACTGTTCCCCACCCCATTTCATGGACAAGAGAACTGAGGCTTAGAGATGTTAAGTAATTTGCTCAGGGTCTCAGGGTGTGTAAGCAGAAGCAGCATTCAAACCTAAGTGTCAGAGGCTGCCATGTCCCTCTAACAAAGGGATGACCGATGTCTCCTTCACATGGTGGGCAGTGTGAGTATCCTAGAATACCAGAGGAAGAAGACCTCAAAGGTGATCTAACTCATTCAGTGTACAGGCAGGGAAACTGAGGGCCAGAGAGGGCAAAGGAATTACTAATGATCACACAGCCAACTGGAGACAGAATTGGCCCATAGACCTGATTTCCCATATCCCTGAGGGGCGATTGCAAATGCAGGGGAAATCTACGACTGGGTTTACTTGGGGCTTGGACGCCCAGCTCCAGCGACCTGGGCCATGCCTACCTGCCGGTGAGAAGTTGGCTCCGCGAAGGCGTGCAGATGGGCTGGATATAATAATTCTCCAACTTGACACCTTCGGCGGCCAGCCGGTCCAGCGTAGGGGTCTCGATATCTGAGCCATGGTAGCCCACATCGTGGTAACCCTGGTCGTCGGTGAGGATGAAGATGATGTGGGGAGGCTGGGGAGGAGCGGCCGAGGGCGGCTCACCGGCCTCGGCGGGACCGTCGGCCACCAGGCTCGGCTTGGCCCAGTCCCAGGACAGGTAGCCAAAGCTGAGCAAGCTGACCAGCGAGAATCCGGTGAGGGCGTGCATCGCCATGCCCGCCCGCGTGCCCCGGCGCGCAGGGCTCCCCGGGCCTCACCGCTGTGCGCGCCCAGGGCGCAAGGTCCGCACGCCCGCGGGTCAGCTGGCCTGGACGCTTCGGGAGCGATCAGCGCCCCCGGGGGCGGAGGGGTGAATGGTCCGGGACCGGCTACCAGACGGCGAGGTCGGACCTGCGCGGCCGCAGCTCGGCGTCAGGGGAGGTCAGGCCCGCGCTGAGCTGCCTCTCGCCGCCCTCTCGCCTGCCCTGCGCCGCCCTCGCTCCCTCTCCCCCAGCTCAGCCCGGCCAGCCTGAGACGCGGCGTGGTGACTTCCAAAAAGTGCTCTCCACCATCCTCGGACTCTCTCCTCTTCCTTCTAGCCCTCGATTTCTCCCGTCTCCTAATTTCTCTTGCCTCTGCTTTCCCTTTCTCCTCCTCCCGACCCTCCAGCCCCCAGCCCGGCCTCTCGCCCCGCCCGGAGTCCTGAGTACAGTTGGGCTCCCCGCGGGGAGGTGGGCAGGACCCCAGCGGGAAAGGGGTGGGAGGCACGAGTTGGGCGGGTCTGGGGGGGTGACACCGCGGGAGAGAATGCGAAAAAGTTGTAACATCTGCCGGGGCCGAGTCCCAGGTGGAGGGGCGGGACGCCTAGAGGCAGCTCCGCCCCCGGGCGGGAAGCCCAGGCCCGCTCGGCCCTCTGGCTCCAGCCCCCGCCCTGGCCCGGACTAAGGAAAGGAGGGAGGGGGCTGCTTGGAATTCGATGGAACAGCTCCGGAATGGCTCGGTCAGACATTCCTCAATCATGGAATCTTAGCATCTCTGAGTGCCAGTTCTGTGAGGGATGCACAGCATTTTCGACTCCAACCCGGTCATCTATAGCGAGAGAAACTGAGGCCTTGAGATGGGCGGGAACTGGTCTAGGTCACAGAACAAGTGAAGGTCTTCTTCCCCTGGGCTCACAGTGGCTGTGTGAGTGGCAGTAGAGAGATCAGTGGAGAACAGGGGGCGACTTTGGCAAGCAGCAGGGGCTGGAAATCAGGAAACTATGTTCTGGCCTTACCAACTTCCCTCTCCCCAGCCCCTCCTCCTCCTCATTCTGTAGCTCACAACTGGAATCTTAGCATGCCAGCGCTAGAATCCAAAGGGCAGAGGCTGTTGTATACATCTTGTATCCACAGGATCTAGAAGCTCAATTAGTATATGTCACCGGAATGAATGGACGAATGGGTATCCACGTTGTCCAGACCAGCTCCCACTCAAGGAAATCCCCATGACAGAGAAAGTAAGCTTGGGAGACCCTGGACCAGCCAAGTAGCATAAATGAGTAGGGGGGATGAGGGCTTTTATTGCCAGAGGAAGGCAGGGGGAAGCATGCGGACCAGTGTGTCTGGGTCTTTGGATTTTTTAAGAACAAACAAATGCAGGTTATTATGAGAAATATTCCAATTTTTAATCACTAGTTTAAAGCAAAATTAAGCACGGTGCAGGCCAAATCAAACCTGAGGGTCGTTTTAGGCCATTGGGTGACGGTTTGCAACTTCTGCTTTGCATCACTGTTTTCCAAATTTTTACTAGGCTACATTTTTAAGTGGGAGAACTGAGTTAAACAAAACCACTTAGGTTTCTTTACTACCAGGACTTCAAATGTTTAACATGCTAATCTCCAGAAGGGAGGTTGATAAGCTGTATTTCCCAATTTTTGGTGACCAAGGACCCTCTTGAAAGGCCAGTGAACTTTGGGAAACAAAGACTGCCCAGGTGTGTCTTCTCCCTTAGCGTCTTTCCCTTGCCAGTAGCCTGTCATGAACCCTTCCCTCTTCCTTAAAACCACTGCGTGTGGGGAAAGAAACCAGTCCTCCAAAATAGCAGACCGAGTCAATCTGCATTTTGAAATGAGGGCTGTGTGGGGCCGCAGCTCCTATTTGCTCAACGTCCCATATTTAGGGTGACCAGATTTATCAAAAGGGAAAACTGAGCCTGTTGTTCTAGCAGGAGAAATGTTGAGGACAGACAGGAAAATACAGCCTTCTGAGAGGAAGGCTGCTAAAACAGTGCTTCTTCCTAAGGCTGTCCTGTGGCTTAAAGTGGGACAAGTCACACACACACACACACACACACACACACACACATCAGATGGACTTGAGTTTTGCATCCTTTTAATTGTCCCAGGCCTTGGTCAAGAGGAACTAGAGAAACGGCACAAGGAGAAATGGCAAGAAGGGGGATGGGGTGGGAATTCAGCCCAGAAGAAAAAAGGTGTGGGAGCAAGCTCACAGGCTGCAGATCTCTGTGAGGCTGTGGCAGGGACAAGACAAACAGAATTCCTGAGAGTTCACGACTCTCGGCTGTGACATCAGACTGCTTGAGTTCAATCAGGCCTTGGACAAATTCTTTTTGCCTCCCTCAATCTCAATTTCCCCATCTGTAAAATGGGATGATACTATAAGTGAGATACAATACAGTGCTCAGTCAAGTGCCCAGCACATAGTAAGCACTCAGGGAATGTGAGTGGTTATCATGATTGTCCACTGTGGTTCTGAGGAAAAAAAACTTAAGTCCCGTGGGTAAAAATGACTGCGAGACACATTTCAGCCCAATTTAAGGGACTACTTTTGTAGGAAATCTGGCAGCTTGCTGAATAAAAGGATGGCAGTGATGGGTGAATCACCATGTGGAGAAGAGTGGGTGGACCTCTCGGGCTTAGCTCTTATTCCCCAATATTCATATTTCTTTTAAGAGCCCCTCAGTAATCACCAAAACCCACAGTGGCCTCAGGGAGCACCATCCCTCCTCTAATGTTCTAGGGAAATAAACACTGACCTTCAACTCTTCTTTTAATGCCATTACACAATGGGGCCAGGCTGGAACGTTTAAACCAGACATTTCCAAAGGCTCAGGGTTGACAACGGGGAAATAACCACAAAGAGTAATGTGAATTCAGGTCATCGCTTTCAATATGTGACTCACTCATCTTCCCTTTGTGTCCTCTACAGAATGCTTGCCTGCCTTCTTCCCTGGGATAATGTCTATTAGCCCTACCCCCACCCAGGTAGACTCTCAAGAGCTCCAAGATATCTCAAGGTCAGGTCCAAGAAATAAGTCTCGGAGAAACAGAAGCTAGCCTTTGCAGTTTCTATCTCAGGACCCACCTGCTTCCAAGATGATTGACAGCAGGAAATCTATCCCATACAAGTTAAGATCTGTACCCCCATTCATATAAGGATGAGCTCACCCCCAAACCCCCCAAAGATAGCCACATTAAAACACTGGGAGAAATCTAACTTCTGCACACGAAATACGGATCAGATGTGGCAAGGAAACAGTACGGTTACTTTCTGTCAGAGATTTCCACTGATGAAATCAGACTTCAAAAAACACCAAGCTGGGCCGGCGAAGTGGCGCGATGGTTAAGAACTGGCTTGGGACGCCAGAGGGCTCCGGTTCGGATCCCACATATGAGGGCCAGTGACACTGCCCTCCACAGCTAAGATGCTGAACAACAGCTCAACCTGGAGCTGGGCTGCCGTGAGTCGCCGGTGAGGGCGTAGGCTGCAGCCCCTGTGGCAGTGGGTTGCAGCCCCTGTGGCAGTGGGTTGCCATGGGCTACCGTATGTAGCCAGCAGCCAGCGTGAGCGGCCAGCAGCCGCAGTGAGCGGCGGTCCAGAAGCCGGCGACTGATCTGCCTCACCCGGGAAGAGCGCAATGATGGTACCAACTTGGGCCAGTGAAGCAACGTCCTCCACAACTAGACTGAAGAACAAAACGACAGCAACTTGTCTGTTCCCCTTCCCCCAATTCCCCAGCACTGTTCCCTTCCCCCAATGCCCTAATGAAAATCTTTAAAAAAAAAACAGAAACAAAAACAAAACCACGGAGCTCCTCTTTAGTGGAATTATGCAAGAAGTCGGTCAAATGTCTATCTGTCCAGGAGGTAATAGGAGAGATTCCTGAACTAAAATGGGGAGCAAAACTAAAGAACTTTAAAAGTACTTTCCAACTTGAAGATGTTATGGTTCTAATTATTTATCCCCAGAAAACTTTTTAGGACACAGAGATATAAAAGTAAAAAACTGAGTGAGTCTGTTTGGTAGCTTTAGCTTTCATTGCTATGCTGTGAGTGTGTGTGTGTGTGTGTGTGTGTGTGTGTGTGTGTGTGTGTGTTTGGCCACCTTTGAACTAAAATTATCTTTGTACAGGTATTTTTATTTTTCTGACTTCCTTGATCTTGGCAAAAATCTTATGCCCAGCTTATGCATGCTGTCACCCTCTGGAGGCCAGTGTGTCTAGGCTGGACCAAAACAAAGACATAAGAGAAAACATAGAAGACCTCTGAACAGTCAAAAGTGTCAGAGTTCAGTTCCTAACTCGGATGAGAGCCACTCAAGCCTGCCTCACTCCAAGCCTATGGACTCTTCATACACATTTCTTATGAGGCTAATGATTTCATTTCCCAGCCCAAGAGTATTGGAAGCAGCTCAGAAAGAATATATAAGACGATAGCTTGAGGCAACTGCCTGTTTTATACTAATACAGTTTCAAAGGGAAAACATTAGGGAGAAGCAAAAGAGTAAACATAAAAATCAGACTGATAAGTTTCAAAGGCTGGGAGTTTAGGGCCATTTGGTGCAGGAGCAAAGAGCCATATTTACCTAAACAGACCCAAGGCCATCCCTAAATCACAGCCCAGCCCAGAGCTGAAGGATGGGTTGCCCTCTAGAGTTTAAATTCAGTTCAGGAACCTCTTTTTAAGAAAGCTAGGGGAAGGCATCAGCTATTTTTTAAAGTTTCCATCCAAAATGGTTACTATGACAAGTTCATGATATATGTATGCTCAGCTTCGGTTCTCGAACATCCTCCCTGAAGATGCAGGCTCAGTAATGTCTGCAGCGGGTTTTGTTGGAGGATGCTGGAGGTCAGGCTCAGTAACCCAGGAGCGCACTCCTCAGTGGCAGGCCAGCCTCATCTACCTCCTGCCTCCCCTTCACAGCCCACAAACGTTCCCTGCTTTTCAAGCCCCATAAGCCTCTATAGCTTGAAAGGGCTAAGTGGCCCTCAGAAAAGAAGCACAGTGAGTGAAGCACAGAATTCCACCTCTGGTGCCCTTTCCAACAGTTAAGCCCTGTCCTCCTAATGAGCAGCTTCTCTCTTTGAAAAACACCTCCGCAAGAGAAAATTCCACAGGGTCCACAGGTCGCCTAGTCTAGAGGCCACTGGTTCTCACGTTAACGCCCATGCTTCAACTGGGGCGTCATTAATTATACTTAATTAATGGTTAATGGAAAGGTTGGAGGTGTTTAAGAAAGCCATGCTGGCTGCCTTATGGAGAATGTATTGCGAAGACCCCAGTTAAGGGTCCACGGAAGAAGGCCAGATGAGCCGTTCTCCCAGTGGGCAGGCAGGCAGCAGGGCATCTGAGGCCCAGCTTTTGCTGGATAT